CTCTCATCATTTTCATGAATTAATGCTAGTAATTTATTTGAAATAATGAAATAAAAAAATAGTTAAATTTTGCAAATTGCCTGTATATATTCATTTTTTTAGGGTTCCATGCTTCCTGACTAAAATTTTAGATAGGAACCAAATGTGAAATGGATATTATCATTTCTTTCCTTCAGTAAGAAGTCTTAAAGCACCATGAGGCTTTCCCATTCTTTGAAAGTGTCTTTTAGTATTAATTTATCAATTTAAGTTAATTATTTATTTGTAAATTAATAAAGCAAAATTAAAGCTTAGTCATCGCTATGATTCATTTAAATTAGAAATCCTTTGTTCAGATATTCCTTCCATATGTACATTGATATTGCTTCGAGATTGAAAGAGCTCGTTAACTGTTTTAATTTTTTTTTATTATAAGAGGATTATATAATAAGATTATTCAATCATTTAAATCCACAAATAATGATTCTCCCAATTCCTTGAATTTTTCACAATTTTTTCATGTGTTTCCTTAATTTGAATGAGTATTTCTTTCAAATTCTTTTAGCCATCATTTTTAAAGTTATATATGATTTCCTATTACAACATATCTATTGAAAAATAAACTTCATATTATTATCTATTTTTTTAATTCACATACTAATTGTAAAGCATGCAGACTCCACGAAACAATTATATCAGTAATTCAGCATTAGGTTTCATATCAATTATGGATTAAAAAATGCCATTTAAAAAACCTTTTAAAATATCATTCCGTTCTTTACCATCATTTGGGGCCATTTGAAATGAAGTTTTTGTTAGGAAAAGGTAAAGTTCCAATTAATTTTGAATGAAATCATTCTTCTCTATTTCCATTTATTATTTTAATTCATCGCAAATATCAAAAAATTTCTATATTGTATCGCCGCTCAATTATCTTTAATCATTTCTTATATGGAAACTAAATATCACCTTTGATAGAGATGCTGTAATCTTTAAGATGAATAAGCATTTAAATGAATCTGTTCTGACATAGATTAAACAACTTTCCAATAATTTTCGGATTTCATCTATAATTAAGTTGTATGATTTTAAGACTTTTTAGGCATTCTTGATGAGTTAATAAATGTTTTCCTCTTAAAAAATAAGCCATTATATGGCTATCATTATTTCTTAAGCTTCTGTTTAATTAGATGCAACAGCTGCTTTAGTGTAAATCGTTTAGACAAAAGAATCAAATCTTGAAATGAAATTTTCTCTTTCTTAAATATAAGAATTTAAGACTATTTCTGTGTTGGGAATTTTTTTAAAAAGATCCACAACCACCACCACTTAATGGGGATGTTATTTTATTCAATAGGCCTGGCATATTATTAAAAATTTAAATATTAAATCAACACC